TCAATGCAGAGCTAAGAATATTGGGATTCATGGCCCACCTCTAGAGAATAGTCTGAGAAGATGGCAGAGCTGTCAAAGAAATCTCAAGTTCAACATGGCACTAATTTAACTAGGTCAGGCACAGTAATTTCATAGCTGTACAGGGCAGTAGCTAGATGCTGAATGAAAGAATGAATTATTCTGAAAGATCATTTTGATGGGATGTGACAATTTTGATGGGAACTGGAATCTTGGCCTCACTACCGTGTATGTACAATGCGATGTTTTGCTTCCCTGGAAAGATGATGACCTCTTTAAGGCAGAGACTGCCTTTTTCTTCTTTGCATCCTCTTTGGGGTCTCTCACTGAGGCACTTCATGGGAGTGTGTTAATTGATTGAAAAGGAGGATGAAAATTAAAATAACATAATTAGGAAGAAGCAAAGGAGTATAAGTCCCAAGGTTGCCTGTGTTTTTCTTCAGAGTGGGCCTTATAGCTCACCAGAAAAAGAGGGATACCAGTAGATGATATAGGCAGATACTGCCTGCTCACTTCTGTGTTTCAGTGCTACCTTGGGATGGAAGAATAGCCTTGAAGGTGATAAGATTCCTAGGGGACATCTGAGATAAGAAAGCAAGTATTTAATCCTAAACAATGGGGCTTTGTGCTTCGATCATGACTTGTATCATACACATCCTTACCAGGGAACTAAGCTGTCTTGAAATCTTGATTGACCTTTTAGGTTTCATTTTGTTTCCCTACCAAAAGATTTACTTGGATTTTTTAAACAAAACTATTTGCTTGGTAGAAATGTAGATTTTGTAGTCCTTATTCGCTGACTTGTGAAACAATCAGAAGGATCAAATGATATGTATATGAAACACTTAGTATGCTGCAAGGTGCTATGTGGATGAAAATTATGTCTTATGAATATTACCACTAGCCTCTGTTTTAGGCCCACTTTATAGGAAAAGATACTGAGAGCAAAAAAGTCCAATAGTTTATCAGGGCTTTGGGTTAAAGATGGCAGATTGAACTTTTACTTTTGCCTCCTCCTGAAAGCTTAAAATAACAATAGAAGGATAAGGGGAAATGTAATTAAGCCACAAAGACAAAGAACCCGAGAGAAAGCAACAGCAACAAACTTTTGAGAGTCAAAAAGCAGGAATAAAAAAGAGTGGCAACTGACTCAACAGAGCAAGGAAAAACAAATCTGTGGCCAGCCAGCATTGGGGAGACCCAAGACATGCTCTGATCTGCACAGAAGTATCAAAGGCCTCAGGAATTGCAGCTTAAAGTGGGCTGCAACAAGGAGGATTTGTTAATTTTTTTTTTTAATGTATTGAACTGCCTTTTCCCCAAATCATCCTTTGACAACTTAGCTGAAGCGAATTGAGACCTCTTACCTACCCTGGCTGAAGATGAGAGGTTAATTCTCTGGCAAAGTTGTCACAGAAGGTGTCCCCACTTGTGGAGACTCTGGCACAACTGAGGTTGGGCATGCCCTAATGAAAATAAGTTTACGTGACAGTGCAAGTGATGGATGTTGAAACATCTCAACCCTTCTTTCCACTCATCTCTCAGAATTCTGACACCCTTTTCTCATCCACATAGATCAAAGATCAAGAAGCAGAAAGAAATGCCATTTGACCCAGCAATCCAATTACTGGGTATATACCCAAAGGAATGTAAATCATCCTATTATAAAGATACATGCATGTGTGTGTTCATTGCAGCACTATTCACAACAGCAAAGACACGGAATCAACCCAAATGCCCATCAATGATAGACTGTATAAAGAAAATGTGTACATATACACCATGGAATATTATGCAGCCATAAAATGGAATAAGATCATGCCCTTTGCGGGGACATGGATGGAGCTGGAAGCAGATCCTCAGCAAACTAATGCAGGAACAGAAAACCAAACACTGCATATTCTCACTTACAAGTGGGAGCTGAACAATGAGAAAAAGTAGACACATGGCAGGGCACAACACACACTGGGGCCTGCCACGGGGGTGGGGGAGGGAGAGTCTCAGAAAGAATAGCTAATAGATGCTGGGCTTAATACCCAGATGATGGGTTGATCTGTGCAGCAAATCACCATGGCACATGTTTACTTATGTAACAAACCAGCACATCCTGCACATGTACCTCAGAACTTAAAATAAAATTTGATGAAAAAAATAAAATACTGCCCACGTTTAAATATGAGTAGAAAACCAGAGACCACTCCCCAAAGAAAACTGGGGAAATTTTCTAATAAAAAATAAATATGGCCAGGTACGGTGACTCGCGTCTGTAATCCCAGCACTTTGGGAGGCTGAGGCAGAAGGATCACTTGAGCCCACAAGTTCGAGACCAGACTAGCCTACATATTAAGACCCTCCATCTCTGAAAAAACTTTTTTATAATTGGCCAGGGATGGTGGCATATGCCTGTGGTCTTAGCTACTCAGGAGGCTGAGGTGGGAGGAGCCACCTTGAGCCAAGGAGATCTAAGTTGCAGTGAGTCGTGATTGTGCCACAGCACTCCAGCCTTGGTGAAAGAGAGAGAGACCCTGTCTCAAACAAAAAAGTGTGGAATTTTGGATACAAGAGATTCAACATAATAGAGGGAAAAAAAAGTTCTCAGAATTATAATATAGGGATGAGAGCTGTGCAGAAAAGTTAGTGAAAACTGGCCTGGATCAGAGGATCCATCAGAGATATCGTCAAGAAGATGAAATTGACAATACTTAATATGTTTAGACATACTGAGAGGAGATATAGATATTTGTAGGTAGAATTTGGAATGAATTGGTGGTAGGAATTAGATGATTAGAAACTAGGGCAGGGCGCGGTGGCTCACGCCTGTAATCCCAGCACTTTGGGAGGCCAAGGTGGGTGGATCATGAGGTCAAGAGATCGAGACCATCCTGGTCAACATGGTGAAACCCCATCTCTACTAAAAATACAAAAAATTAGCTGGGCATGGTGGCGCGTGCCTGTAATCCCAGCTACTCAGGAGGCTGAGGCAGGAGAATTGCCTGAACCCAGGAGGCGGAGGTTGCGGTGAGCCGAGATCACGCCATTGCACTCCAGCCTGGGTAACAAGAGCGAAACTCCGACTCAAAAAAAAAAAAAAGAAAAGAAAAGAAATGAGATGTGGTGATCAGGGGAAAGTGAAGCTTACCAAATGGGCAATGTCAGTCAAAAGACAACGTGGCACAGAATATCAGTATTCCGGCCAGGCCTCAGAGATGTGGCATATCAGTATGTGAGAAAGGGGTCTCGAATTTATGTGGAAGGGAAAACAGACTATGGTGAATACATGGATAAAAATAATGTGAGGCGACAAGCAACAACAATCATAGCTGATAATATTATATTTCTGAGTGACCAGACAAAAGAGAAGGAGTAGAATGGATGACTCTTCTTTGGCCATCATTTGGTACAGTCTCATTTCCAAATCATGTATAATCCTTATAGTTCCCAAGGACAAGAATTAAAATACTCTTTTACATTAAAAAAAAAAGAAACCTAAGGCAGCAAAAACAAGTCTATTATTAACTCTAAAACGTTAGGAAGGAAAGGAAATGTTATCACCTTATACCGTAGTATCTCAGCTGTGAACAGCGTTGATTGTCATAATAATGTTAACAATAAATATTTCTCTGACCAAAAGTGTCATATAACTCTACTGAGAGGACAGAAGCAGTATGGGAGTGGAGAAGTGGTTGTGGTGAGGGGTGGTAGAAAGAAAAAGAGCTGATTTCTCATCTCCCAAGGTGGGAGTCAATGGCAAAGTCCTAAATTAACAGTATAAACATGATAGAGATGTGAAGGTCAATACCAAAGTAAATGGCCAACAAAGTTGAAAGTGACCATCTCTCAGAAGAGGAAATGCATATGTGTATGTGTTTGGGTGGTGGATACTGCATTCATTATTAGAGATTTTGTGTACATGTCACTTTAATACAACTATAAACTAAATTTCCTAAAAAGTCACCTAAATTGCCAAACTATATTTTTGCACAAGGGGCAAAATTATAGGTTCTCGCTTTGAATTTTTTCTTTGTTTGTTGGATTTTACAACTTGTCCCATTTCTAAGCACTTGAGGTACTGAATCTACACACAAACAGTGGCCAGAATATATATAAAAATAGAACTTTGATGCACAATCTCCTGCAACCAGCTGGGGAAGCCAAACAGTTATCTATATCAACCAGCTCGTCAAAGCAGCTTGCTGTAACTCTGACCTATAAGAAGTGAGGCTACCCTCCCTAGCAACCAGTGCAGGAAATTAAAAAAATAACCTCTGTAGCATTCAGCCCCAAAAGCCCAGAACTTGATTAATAACTGACAGCTTTCCTAATTTTTGTCCCTGCTTCCAACTTAGGACCAATCAGAGAAAGCCAAATATATGCCCCAAACTAATCACATTGGATGCCCTGCTCCCAGTTAGCAGCCTCCAATTTCCTTGGCCGGCGGCCTCCAATCAGGGCACACCTGGAGCCTACCTTTTCTCCACTATAAAACCTTCCCACTCTTTTCCATGCCTTTGACTCTTGGCTAAATACAAGTAATGGTGGCCAACTACCTTGCTATAACAAGCTCTGTGTAAATATCCTTTGCTTGTTCTCATTTGCTTGGTCTTCATTTATTTCTACATACTATTTTTAGGTATTAAGAATTTTTAAAGATTGAAAACCATTTGACTTGTCAAAAATTAATGCCCACTAAACCAATGATCCAAGTTCAAAAAGATTTAATAGTTTCCTGAAAAAAAATCATTCTATTTATCCACTCACGTGTTGCATTGTATTTCCATGTGCAAAGTGCTACACTGGGTATGATGGAAAATACAAAAATAAATTAGACTATTTGAATATTTCACATAATTGAATTTAATAATTTCAGAGTTTCTTAAATTCAGATAATCAAAGTTATCTTAAGTTTAGGTGACTCGAAGCTGTATTCATTCTTTTAAGAAAATGGAACATAACTTTAAAAATCAAGCTGCCAAATCGAGAGATCAAGTTGTATTTTTATATTTTTTATTTTACATTTTCTCTCACATAGTCCAATTGAAGTTTTCTTATTTAAATATCTTGGCATATGTCGAAAATTTGCTTTTTCCCCCTTGAAATCTTAACTACTACAAATACAAATACTAAGTGTATTTCATTTACTCACTGAATTGAACTGATTTTAAAACTGAATTGCAGATGTCCCATGAAGGGGCACATATATGATTATGGAAAATTATTCTATTGAAAATAACAGTCGTTTTTATAGCGATATAAATCTGAGAAAGCAAAACAAATTGAGGTTGGAAAAACAGATGTATTCAATAAAAAACTACTGTGTGCACGTGGTGAACTAGTCTTTAGCAAGATTCGAATAATGCAATCAGTAGGAATTTGGCTGGCCTGTGGAGTTTTCAAAGGCATGGATGTTCGAATAATAGCTGGAAATCTGTTGTGGACACGAGGCTATTAAGCCTGTCTCCCGCTGCATTCAATATAGTGGTAAAAACTATTATTAAATAACTGATTTTATAGCAACTGTTACAATTATTTGACCAAAGTATAAATTAAAGTTTATGATGGATGCAAATGTACATCTTAAAATGTATAATACTAATTTAGGTTCCTTTCTCATTTTAAAATAACCATTCAGACGACGGAACAGTGATTACCAAAATAAGAGCAAATTAATAAGGCTGACAGGAAGACTTCTCGAAAGTGTGAAACATTAAATGTGCCTTTACTTTTCAAACACAGAATCCTACAATTATCAGAGGTCTCGTCTCTCGCTGAGTGCACACAACTCCCATTAGCGGTAATGGTACTGACGCACATGAAACCCCGAGAAACAATTAAGAGGCACAAATGACGGATCTGGTCCCCAAGCCTCCTGTGTCACATGTTGACATCCACCACACCTGGTGAGGAGGAACCGTAACTGATTAACCCACTGATGGTCAGTCTTTCTAGCCATTGCTGCCACTTGCATCATTTCCTCCCTTGAAGCCCCGGAAATCAAACTTGTCAATTTATAAAGGGCAAAATTCTTTGTTAAGTGAAATGCCTCGTACTTAGGCACAAATAAAGCTTTTCTGGTGTAGGGATAGGAACTGATCCCATTTTCTCTCCCTAGTTTGTTCCCTGCATCAGAATAATTTCAAACTTGGAAAGCCTTTTATCACTGAAGCTTTTTAGAAATGACGGATTCCCAGGCCCTGGCCTGTGTTTACGGTCTCTGAGTCTGGGAGTTGGCAGTGCATTTCCTAAAGACCTTCATGAGATTGGGGGTTGGGGTGTGAGCAGGGTTTGAGAAGCAGCAGCACTACCCTGTAATATCTAACTCAGTAGTTGGCAAAAAGTAAGCACATAATACTATTTGAGGATAGAACAATTTTAAGGAGGATTTAAAAATATTTTAAATTCTATTATACATAATATATACATAAATATGTATGCTATATGTAATATAGACATATATATTCCTGGAAAGTCTCAGGAACAACTTGACTTTACCTTTGACTCAAAGTAAATATTCATATTAATAAAATGCACACATGGGTATTCCAGAGCATTGAGTTTAAATTAAAAATATTAAAAGTCCCTAAGATTGTGAATAGACCCAATGTGAGATACATATAAAACACACACAACGCATGTGCATGCACGCATACAGTTATTTGGAAAATGAAAATTTTTAAGAGCATAGAAGAGGTGGAAGCCACTCTAGAATTCATATAATCTAGGCTTTTTTTAAAAAAAATCTATTTGGCCATCATAATCATCTGGGAAGATTTGTAGAAAGATCAGTTACGAAAATCTCCTCCCTAATTACCGAATCTACATTTCAGAGAGGGACCCTGGGAATCTGTATGGTTTAAAATTTTGAAAACACATCCGATGACTCGTGGGGATTCTAACTTTTCTTCCCAAGTGTCCTTGTTCTTTTAGTACTTGCTTGGATGGTGTGGCTTCCTGCCATTGATCATCTGGTCACTGTCCTTTGAGCAAATCTGTCTACCTGGTTCTCACTGAAAGCACAGTGGCAGTTGTGTAGCTGAGAGAGGGCATCTTTCTCCAGGTTCGGACTCAGGTCTACCAGAGCATCAAGATCCAGGTAACTATTTGGCAACGTTTTTTCATCTTTGGCTCATATTAATCTAGCAGTTAACCAAAAATGTTGGGTTTTGTTTGTTTTTAAAGTATTGTTAAGCCATAGTTTCCCCCATGTTGTGTTTGTGAAGTTGAATGTTAACCTAGTGCACAGGCACTTATGGTTGGTCTTGTTAGATTTAGTTCCAGATCCAGGTTTTCAGGTTCATTTGGATTTAATCTTTTAACAATAGTTGTCACCCTCTTCGATGGAGTTTTCACCTGGCCACACACCTGCCACATGTCTAACTGTTCAGCCCAGGCTTCCCCATCTTGTTAATAGAAACTCCATAAGAAAAGTGTGTAAATCTGCCTTTCTTGAAATTAAATCTTGAAACCCATGTTGTTTAGCATTACTCCAAATCTCTGTATCTGCAAGGTATATTTTGCTTTATATGCTCAGAATATTTTATGTGAAAAATTTAGCTGTCAATAGATGCATTCCACATTTCACAGCTTATCTCTTTTTAAAATTTTCTTTTCATAGAAACAGCTTTACCAAAGTAAAATTTCTTATGAGATTCTTTTTCTAAATTTCCACCAACATACATTGTCTCCTTCCGTGACAAGCTTCTAGCTGGTCCAGAGGCCACAGTGGTCTGACAGTAATTCGCCGAGGTACCACATTTCAATTGCTTCAGCACATTTCAATTAGGAGACCTTTGAGGTGAGAAAGAAAAAGAAATGGAGTGGGAGTCAGGTAATGCTAAAGAAAAACAATGTGAAAGGCTGGGATAAGAAACATCTTTGGACAATGGAAAAAAGAAAAATACACCTCACAAGAATTCTCAGGAAGAACTTGACTCTACCTTCGACTCAAAGTAACTGTTTATAAAATGCACATGTGAATATTCCAGAGGTTTGGGTTTAAGTATTTCCAAAACCCCTAAGATTATGAATGGACCTAATGTGAGATACTTTTCTAGAAGTTTTAGTCTAATAGTGAAGATGTAATTTATATTAGGCTTTCTGTTGGCATAAAGAAAAACAAAAAAATGTCTTAAGCAAGAAATGAAATTTACTGGCTTATTTGTAGTCCAGACACTGGCCTCACTTCAGCCTGCTTGAATCCTACAATGATGTCATCAGACCTGTGTTTCTGTCTGTCTTGCTGATCTACTTCCTCCCTCTGCCGATCCCATTCGCTGGTGGGTATTCTCCTCTTAATAGCATTATATCTGCAGACTCACACACTCAGAGCCCACATCCAGAGTAAAAGAAACAATATGTCCTCTCATTAATTCCGCCTAAGTATAGTTAATTGATTAACAGTCGCCCAAAGATACCAAGTTCTAATCCTGGAACAAGCAAATGCCACCATATGAGAAAAAAAGCAGACTTCAAAGATGTGGTTACTTTAAGATTCTTGACATGGGAGATTTAGTCTGGATATTGCAGATATCCCCCAAGTGTAATCACAAGTGTCTTTATAAGAGAGAGGCAGAGGGAGACTCTACACACAGAAGGGGAGGAGGCAATGTGACTATTGAGGCAGAGATGGGAGTGACGGGGCCACAAATAAAGGAATGCCTGCAGCCAGCAGAATTAGCAAGGAACAGACTCACCCCCTAGAGCCTCTGGAGGGAGCATGGCCCTCTGACAACTTGATTTTGGCTCCGTAAAACAGATTCCAGACTCCTGGCCTCCAGAAATGCAAGGGAATAATTTCAGTTACTTTATGCCACCAAGTTTGTGGTAATTTGTGGTAGCAGCCACAGGAAATCACGTTACACCAGGTAACGTGAATGGTGCTGATGTGACCAACCTGAGCCACGAGGCTACCTTTGAGCCAACTGCTGCACACTGACAAGGTGGGATGGGGTTTTAGCAGGGGGAGAGGTTTCCCAAAAGGAAGACATAACTAGAAATAGAAGCAGGTGGGATGAGGGGGCAAAAAAAAAAAAAATACACCCAGCAGACATTCACTTCGTGTTTAAGAGAAAACAGAAAGGAAGTTCAAAGTTAACATTTATATGCAAGGAAATTATGACATTAGGACACTTGAGCTTTGTGTTGCTGTGATGATGTTGTCAAGCAGCGTATGATCAGGATGCACTGAGTTGATCAGGGACCACTCGCTAAGAGCAGATTTGTTTTTATTGCTGATCACTGGAACGTCTCCAAGTCTGACATGTCTCTTTTTGGAACAGTTGTATGTTAAGATCACACATATTATTCTAAATATAAATAAACGTACTGTGTTATTAGGCTAGGGTAATAACTTGTATTTATTTTCTAACATTCTTCACAGTTATGTCTAAAATAATGTATTAACAATGTTTGCTACAGTAAAAGCTGTGCCAGAGTTTATGGAGTGAAGTCTATAGCACTTTCCATACCTCTCCTTGGATTCTAACTCGGCGGCCTCTGAAGGCTCTGCTCCAGGATGGCTCTCCCTCTTGTGTGGGCTTTGGCCTTGGGTAACTTACACTTTCCAATGTCAGATTCCTTATGTGTAAAATGAGGATAAATGACTTTGCTGCATTTTCTTTGAGGATTATCTAAAAAAAAAATGGGTGACAGCATCTAGCAGGGTGCCCAGCACAAAGTAAGATGCTAGACATACTCTATTGTGAACCCATAATCCAATAAGCACAGTTTAGCTCATTATTCCCTACATTTGTCTGCTTATGCTTACCCACACTGAAGCTCTTCAAATGACTCGTTTCTACTTCCAAAGATCTACTTGTAGCCTCCAGTTGGCTTAGCATGTTGGTGTGCAGAGGAGCCTGATGTCACATGTGCGCTGGACATCTTAGTATGTTCTCTCCATTTTCAAACCTTCATAAGATGTAAAATAAGATCAGTGTCAGTTCTGAGCCATGCAGGGCTAACCCTGCTTATTTATTCCAAAAACGTTTTAGATGCTAATAAGATTTCTTTAATATGACCAGGCATCACAGTCCACCTCCCCAACCTGAGATGGCTCATTTGCTTTGTTGTGAAACTGTCAGACTTTATTTTGAAGATTCAAAAAATAGGATCTGTTAGTTATTTCTCAGCTTTTTCATTATTTACTCTAAAAAGCTGTAGTAGGTAAGTCAGGCATAATCTCCCTTTTGGACGTTTTGCTGGAGGGAAGAGGAAAGCGAGCATCGCTTGATGCATACGGAAGAGCAGTCCCCAGTTAGGGGCACGTCAGCCTTGTCTCGTGTTCCTGTGAGCCAGTGACTGCCTCTGGACTGGTCAGTAACACAGCAGCAGCTCTCAGTTCCAAGGGACATTTGGGAAATCTCTGGCCAGGTTGGACAGGTTTGCAGAGGTTGTATTACTTCATCTTTGCCCAGTAAATTTTAGAACTCGGTTGCAGAACTCTCAAAATCATTTGATTGCTAGCCTTTGTTCTCTAATGAATATCTGCCTGTATTCAGGGTAGCTGTCATTCCAAACATTATAAACCACATCTTATATAAATTTTACTGGGCTTCAGGGACTTGGGGAGATATAGAGATGAAATACAGAGAGATGACTTTTATAGATATAATTTAAACATTTGCTGAAATTTAAATAATGGAAACTTACTATTTAATGAGGAATTTTATCCACTTTGTATATATAATTTATAGCTTGTCGAGTATCACAAGATCTCATTCATCCTACAGGAATACTTTGCATTCTAGAAATAGGTATGCCAAAACCCCAAAGCATTAGAAATAGTGAGATTATGAACAGCTTTTCATTTCTTCTTTTTTCCTAGGCACATTTCCTTAAAATTCTATGTTTAACAAATGTTATGTTCCTAAAATGAAGTATTTTGATTAATGCTTAAAAAAATTAAGAACTTTAAAACAGAAACACCAATTATGAATATGCAGCATAGTGTTAGTCTTTATAGATTAAAGCTGGAAATACATCTAATAACAGAAAATTGTGTAAGTTTCATATCCATACAGTGGAATGCAATCATCCCTTACTTAATGAATATTTGCATTCATTCTTGGGGGAAGAAGGAAACACACTAAAAATTTACACAAATTTTTCTGATTATCTTGTTTTTTCATTATTTGCTCAACAAGCCATCCTTTTGACTCATTCCAATCTTTACCAAAAACTGGTAACTTCTATCTAGAACACAGATAGAAAGCTCACATTATAAGAAGCAAGAATGATGTTAATTAAAAGAACAGCAACTTACATTATCGGGGGCTCTTCTGAAAGTCTGACATTACTACAAACAGCCAACTTGAGACTTAGCTGAAAGGGTCCTTTAAATGGTGTGGAATTCATATTGTGGAAGTAGGGGCATTCAGAATATATCCAGAAATATTTGGAATTTGCAAATTGATGTGAATATGATAGGGTAGAATTTTCACAAGTATTTTATATCTGAAGTTGGATAATAAAAATATGGTTCTAATAAAAAAGGAGGCGAAACTCCTTCAGGACAAAAAGTGATTATGTCAAGCCTTGTGAATGATTGTAAAATATGGGAACTCAAGATTTAGCAAAGCAATTCCAACGGTTAAGTCCATTTCTCACGAATGAGTGATGCACTCATGCAGTTGCCAAGTGATCAACCTGATGAAAAGGACAGCTCTGCTTCCATGGAGGGTTCTCCTCACGTTGCTGTCCTCGTAGCTGGGTAGAGGAATGCCAGGCTCTAGGAAATAAGTTATCCAGTGTGGTGGAAATCCAGGACCGTGACTAGAGGGACAGAATCAGCCAGTGGCAAGGCACAGATAAAGACATACCCATGGTGATTAAAGTTTGCAGATAATCTAGGCTTTGTTACTTGAAGGTAGAGTAGACCAAAGTGACAAATGTTTATACTCTAGCTCCTTAGGTCTTCAAACACTACAAATAATGAGTGAGCAGAGCTGAAAAGTTACTGAGCATAAATGGAACCAATACTTAATGTAATATTTATTTTCTACTTAGCCCTGATGTAAAACATTAAAATTATATTAAATGTACTGATGGCAGTCAAAATTTAATGATTATAAATTTTACTTTGCCTTAGTATAAGGTTTTTTAATGTTTCTTATATGTTATCTCATTTTCATACCAAGAAACTAAAGATAGGCATACACATTTATGCCATTATTTTTTGATAATATGGCATAAAATTTACAATTAGATACATCACATACTGTATTCTTGCCTTTTCCTCTTGTTCCACATGAAAAATCTAATCAGTCATCTGTGTAACCAAAACTAGGCCTCATCATTCACCCAAACAGAGTCTGGGGCACATATCAGAAATGGAATGTAGTTAATCTTTCTTGTTTTATCAGTGTGGTCTCTAAGCCAGCAAGCCCCTTAGGAAGGGATCTAAGTAATTCATTCACTGTGATCTTTTTAATCAAAACTAAAAGACTCAGGCTTAGAGAGAACAGCACAGAATTTTTAACCCGCTCTGGCTAGTCTTTACATTGTTCATATAACCTTTCTACCAACTCAGAATCTATGCCACTCCATCTGAGCTATAAGCCAGAAGACCTCAGATGTGACATAAGAGTTCATGATAACATGAAGAAAATCTCCAAGTGTGCCATGGTTCCAAAGAGAAGCTTCTATTTAGTTCAAATATTAAAGGATATTAAACTTCACTTCTTCAGCTACCACATCTATGAAATACACACTTCCAGGCCAGGCATGGTGGTTCATGCCTGTAATCCCAGCACTTTGGGAGGCCAAGATGGGCGGATAACTTGAGGTTGGGAGTTCGAGACCAACCTGGAGAAACCATCTCTATTAAAAACACAAAAATTAGGCCAGGAACAATGGCTCATGCCTGTAATCCCAGCACTTTGGGTGGCCAAGGCAGGCAGATCACGAGGTCAAGAGATCAAGACCTTCTTGGCCAACATGATGAAACCCTGTCTCTACTAAAAAATACACAAATTATCTGGGTGTGGTGGTGTGCACCTGTAGTCTCAACTACACGGGAGGCTGAAGCAGGAGAATTGCTTGAACCTGGGAGGTGGAGGTTTCAGTGAGCCGAGATCGCACCACTGCACTCCAGCCTGGCACCTGGCAACAAAGCAAGACTCTGTCTCAAAAAAAAAAAAATTAAAAAATTAGCTGGGTGTGGTGACAAGTGCCTATAATCCCAGCTGCTGGGGAGACTGAGGCAAGAGAATAACTTGAACCCAGTAGACAGAGGTTGCAGTTAGCTGATATCACGCACAGCACTCCAAGCTGGATGGCAGAGTAAGACTCTGCCTCAAAACAAAAAAAAAAAAAAAGAAGAAGAAGAAAAGAAAAAGACACACTTCCATATTAACTTATCTTTTATGACTTTAGGTCATATTCTTTATTACTGAAATAGGTCCAGAATTACAGAACTGGTCCTAGGGAGGATCTTTATTTCTTCCTAGGAACAGAGTCTAGAACTCATATAGGTGCTTCCAGCTACAGATGGACAGGAACATCTTCAAGGCCTGTTTCAGGGATGAGTAACAGAGAAGCTCACAAGTCTAACACTGTGTACATCTGCTTCCTCATGCTTCAGTTTTTCTCTAATCTATTGTCCACAGTCCCTTACCTTCTCTTTTCTCTCCTCTCCCACGTGGCTCTGAATCAGTTTTTACATCACAGGCATAGCTAGAATTAGGCCTCGTTGCTGGGAGTGCTTGTGACTGACTCTCCCCTAAGTGATTGCTATTTTTTATTGTTACATTATTTATTTTTTAGGACACAGTCTTACTCTGTCACCCAGGCTGGAGTGTGGTGGCACAATCTTGGCTCATTGCAACCTCCGCCTCCTGGGTTCAAGCTCATCAGGCAGGATTGGGTTAGAGGGAAAAGCCTGTGCTCTAAAGAGGAATTGGGTGCTCCCTAACTACGAGGGGACACCTTCTCAGGGGTCCCAAGGCAAAGAGAACCTTCTTTCTATGCCCTGTGACTTCCTGGGGAAGGGGACAGAATTCTAGAGAAGCTATGTGATATATCTGGCGGGCGGGGGGAATGACCACAGACAATTTTCGTTAGTGACACAGAGATTATAGAGTGTGTATTAACCATGTCTTTTAAATCTATATTTTTAATTCTTTGACATCTTGAGGGCTTGCTGACAGGAATCATCTGGAGTTTTAGGCAGAAGTCTGCTGCACAGACGGAGCCCTCATGGAGAACCTGTGCCAGGGCAGTGCAGAAGGAAAATGTGGGGTTGGCGCTCCCACACAGAGTCTCCACTGGAGCACTGCCTAATGGAGCTGTGAGAAGAGGGCCACCATCCTCCAGACCCCAGAATTGTAGATCTTGCAATAGCTTGCACCATGTGTCTGAAAAAGCTTCAAGCACTCAATGCCAGCCCATGAAGGAGTTGCCCAAGGCTGTGAGAGCCACTCCTTGCTTCAACATGCCTCAGATGTGAGACATGGAGTCAAGGGGATCATTTTGGAGCTTTAAGATTTAATGACTGCTGGGTTTCAGACTTGCATGGGACCTTCAATCCCTTTGTTTTGGCCAATTTCTCCCATTTAGAGTGGGAGCATTTATCTAATGCCTGTACTTTCATTGCATTTTGGAAGTAACTAACTTGCTTTTGATTTTACAGGCTCATTGGCAAAAGGGACTTGCCTTGTGTCAAATGAAATTTTGGACTGTGGACTTTGGGCTGATGCTAGAATGAATTAAGACTTTCAGGGACAGTTGGGAAAGCATGATTCATTTTGAAATGTGAAAAGACATGAGATTTTGGAGGGGCCAGGGGCGGAATGATACAGTTTGGCTCTGTGTCCCCACCCAAATCCCATCTCACATGTAATTTCCACATGTCAAGGGAGGGAGGTGATTGGAACATGGGGGCGGTTTCCCTCATGATTTTCTCATGATAGTGAGTGAGTTCTCATGAGATCTGATTTTTTTTTTTTTGAGATGGAGTTTTGCTTTTGTTGCCCAGGCTGGAGTGCAATGGCATGATCCAACCTCCACCTCCTGCCTAAGCCTCCTGAGTAGCTAAGATTATAGTCACCTGCTACCATGTCCAGCCAATTTTTTGTATTTTTAGTAGAGATAGGTTTCACTATGATGGTCAGGTTGGTCTCAGACTCCTGACCTCAGGAGATCCACCCGCCTCAGTCTCCCAAAGTGCTGATATTACAGGCATGAGCCACCGTATGCAGCTAATTTGATGGTTTTGTAAGTGTTCGGAAGTTCCTCCTTTGTTCTTCTCTCTAGAAGGTACCTGCTTACCCATCCACCATGATTATAAGTTTCCTGATGCCTCTCCAGCCATGCAGAACTGAGTCAGTTAAACCTCTTCCTTTATAAATTACCCAGTCTCAGGGAAGTTCTGTTTAGCAGTGTGAAAGCAGACTAATATACTGACCCAGCAGGGGCTGACTTTCCCAGGGCTAGCCAAGTCCTAGAGATAGTAAATGGCTCACCTGCAAGCTTATCTTTCATATGCCAACTGCTCCCCATCATTCTGAAGCAGCTGGATTGCTAAAGTGGTGGGATGAGTCACAGTTACACCACCAACTAGGTGACAGTACTTTACAGGGCTAGAGCAAAGTTCTCCAGAAGGCTGTGTATGCTCTGTATCGGTGTCCCATATATGGTACTGTTTCTCCCATAGCCAAGATTCATGGATCCAGGAATCAAGTGGTCGAAGTGGAAGTGGTACCACTCACTATCAACCCTAGTGACTCACTAGCAAAATTTTTTCTTCCTGTTCCCGTGACATTATATTCTGCTGGCCTGGAGGTCTTAATTCCTAGAGGGAGGAATGCTGCCACCAGGAGACACAACAATTCCATTAAACTGGAAGTTAAGATTGCCATCTGGACACTTTGAGCTCCTCCTATCTCTAAGTCGGCAGGCAAAAAGGGAGTTACAGTGTTGGCTGGAGTGATTAACCAGGACTATCAAGATGAAATCAGTCTACTATTCCACAGTGGAAGTAAAGAAAAGTATGTGTGGAATACAGGACATCCCTAAGAGCGTTTCTTAGTATTACCATGCCCTGTGATTAAGGTCAATAGGAAGCTACAACAGCTCAATCCAGGCGGACTACAAATGGCCCAGACTTTTCAGGAATGAAGGTCTGGGTCACTTCACCAGGTAAAAACCATGACCTGCTGAGGTGCTCACTGAAGGCAAAGGGAATACAGAATGGGTAGAAGAATAAGGTAGTCATCAATACCAGCTACGACCAATGACCAGTTGCAGAAACAAGGACTGTAATTGTCATGACTATTTCCTCCTTATTTTGTTAAGAACATGTTTATGCATGTATACACTTGTACTAAGAAAACATCTTAATTTTCTTTTCTTTTTCCTTTATCATGTGATATAAATTTATCGACTTCATATCATCATTTAAGTATTATTAACTTTTTGTAATAGCATTTGGGCTGAGGATTGGTGTGTTTTCAGTTGTACAAAGGATAGCTATATTATGTTAGGCATAATTATGACCTTATTATTGTCTTTAGTTGAATATTATGTGTTATTTCAGGAGATATGTATGGGTTCAAGTTGGCAAGGGGTGGACTTGTGATGGTTAATACTAAGTGTCAATTTAATTGAATTGAAAGTTGCAAAGTATTTTTCCTGGGTGTGTCTGTGAGGGTGTTGCCAAAGGAGCTAGTGGACTAGGAGAGGCAGGTCCACCTCGATCTGGGTGGGCACCATCTAATCAGCTGCCAGCCTGTCTAGGAGAAAAGCAGGCAGAGGAATGTGGAAGGACTAGACTAGCTATGTCTTCTGGCCTCCATCTTTCTCCTGTGCTGGATGCTTCTTGCCCTCAAACATCAGCCTCCAAGTTCTTCAGCTTTTGGACTCTTGGACTTACATCAGTGATTTGCCAGGGGCTCTCAGGACTTCAGCCACAGATGGAAGGCTACACTATTGGCTTCCCTACTTTTGAGGTTTTGGAACTCAAATTGGCTTCCTGCTCCTTGGCTTGCAGACAGCCTATTGTGCAACTTTGCCTTATGAACATGTAAGTCAATTCTCATAATAAACTCCGCTTCATATATACATCTGTCCTGTTAGTTCTGTCCCTTTAGAGAACCCTGACTAATACACCAACCATCCAATCCGGAGTCTATATCTCTAACCACCTCCTTTATGGAATCTTATACTCTGGCTCATTATTCCCCTTTCTAATCACCCCAAGGCGAGGTACAAGACAACTAGGGGCAAATTTTGTGCTTCAGAGCCCTGATATTGTTCAAACTAGAAAATTATTGGTCAGGCATGGTGGTTCACACCTGTAATTCCAGCACTTTGAGAGGCCGAGGCAGATGAATCACGAGGTCAAGAGATCGAGACCATCCTGGCCAACATGGTGAAACCCCGTCTCTACTAAAAATACAAAAATTAGCCAGGCATGGTTGTGGGTGAATTCCAGCTACTTGGGAGGCTGAGGCAAAGGAATCGTTTGAACCTGGGAGGCAGAGGTTGCAGTGAGCCAAGATCGTACCATTGCACTCCAGCCTGGGTGACAGAGCCAGACTCCATCTAAAAAAAAGGAAAGAAAATTCTTGACCTGCTTGCTCTCCCTTGCTTGTTCCTTCCCAAAGAAATAACAATAAACAATAAATAAATGCTCTTGCCCATGTTCTGTCCTCACTTCCTTTGTTTCCTGACCAGCCCTTCTGCTTCCCAGTGTGGCCCTGTGAGGGGTGCCATGCCTTCTGCTTCTAGGAGAAGCAAAATCTGGCATAATTGGAGGCTTCAATATCCCAGTTTTTATAATGGATAGAACAATTTGGCAGAAGATTAACAGAAAATCAAAGACTTGAGCAATATTATAAGCCAACTAGACTTAGACATTGAAAAGATATTCCACCCAGCTACAGAGGGGTACAAATTCTTTTCAAGTGCAAATGTGGGATTCTCCAAGATAGAGTATGTATTAGATCATAAAACAAGCCTCAATAAATGTAAAAGGATTAAAATCATACATAGTAATATTCAATCGTACATAGAAATGACAATAGAGTTATATCCAAAATCAATAACAGATGGAAACCTGAGAAATTCACAAATGTGTGAAAATTAAATACCCTCCTTTTCTTTGAGACAGTGTCTCATTCTGTTACCCAGGCTAAGTGCTGTGACATGATCATGGCTCACTGCAACCTCCAACTCCCAGACTCAAGTGATCCTCCTACCTTAGCCTCCTAAATAGCTGGAACTACAGATGTGCGTCACCACACCCAGCTAATTTTTTGTAGAAAAAACCGTGCTGTGTTGCCCAGGCTGATCTTGAACTATTGGATTCTAGCGATTCTCTTGCCTTGGCCTCCCAAAGTGCTGGGATTACAAGTGTGAGTCACTACAACTGGCCTAATAATACGTTTCTAAATGATCAATGGATCAAAGAAAAAATCACATGGGAGATTTATTTTCACATGGAAGAAATTAAATTTTTCATTCAATTCAAAAGTTATTTGAATGAAAATTAACCACAACATTCAAAACTTATGGCATGCAGTTAAGACAGTGCATAAAGGGAAATTTATAGCTATAAACATGTATATTTAAAACAAAAGAAAGATCTCTAGTCAACAACTTTAACATTCACCTTAAGAAAATAGAAAAAAAGAGGCCAGGCATGGTGGCTCATGCCTGTAATCCCAGCACTTTAGGAGGCCAAGGCAGGTGGATCATCTGAGGTCAGGAGTTCAAGACCAGCCTGGTCAACATGGTAAAACCCTGTCTCTACTAAAAATACAAATATTAGCCAGACGTGGTGGTGGGCGGCTGTAATCCCAGCTACTCGGGAGGCTGAAGCAGGAGAATTGCTTTAACCCAGGAGGCGGAGGTTGCAGTGAGCTGAGATCGTGCCACCGCACTCCAGTCAGGGTGACAGAGCGAGGCTGTTTCTCAAAAAAAAAAAAAAAAAGAAGAAGAAGAAGAAAAAAAGGAAAAAAAAAGATCAACAAAATTGACCAATCTTTAGCAAGACTGACCGAGATTTATAAAAGGGAGACAGAGAAAGAGAGAAACAGAGATAGAGAGAGAAGACTCAAAGTGCTAAAATCAGGAGTGAAATACAGGGCATCACTACTATTCTTATAGAAATAAAAAAGGATTTTAAAGAAATACTAATGAAGAACTGTATGCCAAAGGAACCGTGGGGTGAGTGACAATAGACGACCCAGTGGGAACTAGCATGAACAAATAATTACTGACAAGAGGGTTTC